GGGCAGCCAATTTTTTAATATGTTATATTTAACACTATACACTATCAGTTTCTTGTCGAAACAAGGCCGAGACTCGCGAAGACATTTTTAAAACTCAATTAGAAAATCGATTTTAGATAAAAAGTGAAAAATTTTTTACGTTTACTTGTCGCGAGATTTAAATATTACAAACATTAAATGAGCAATAACTGTACATAAACATATATTCTACATACCTCCAGAAAGTGATTCCATTTTGCCAAATTCCAATTGAAATAGTTTCTTCAGTTTCACAGCACTTCAAAACAGGCAAGAATTTTTCGACGCGTCCACTTGTTTCGTGCGTACCGAACGGAGGCTGAATGTCGACTGATGTCGAGGCGACCCTACAGCAGATATATACCTATCCGGTCCGGAATTTTGTTCTAGAACCATCCGTGAACAAGATCTGAACGTGTATAGACGAAAATATACAACTCGAAAATTTGATTTTTGGCCACGAAATCGGGATTTTGCCCCACTGTGCGTCGTTGCCTTCATCCTTCCGCGTCTCTCGCTTTACCAGGGTGCCGTCACTTACGGTGGAGCGAAGTGGCCTCACATTAAGGGACTCCAGCTGGCTGATCCTCGGTTCATGGCCAACGATCCAATCGAGTTGCTGCTTGGAGCGGAAGTATGCTCGGTCATCCTCGAGGAGGGTCTTCGCAAGGGAGGTCCTCAAGAGCCAATCGCTCAACGCACGCTGCTGGGCTGGATCCTGTCCGGCGGGTGCGGGGACGCCTCGTCACCAACGCCGCGCACATCTCTCCAGTGCACGGCTGAGCGCGAGCTGATCTCTCTCGTGCAACGCTTTTGGGAGCAGGAGCAAGAGGCCTCTGCCCCCGACGCTCTCACGCCGGACGAACAGCGGTGCGAGGACATATTCGCTCGCACACACATTCGCACCGAAACTGGCAGGTACATGGTGAAGCTGCCATTCACCTCTCCTCCGCCGACGATCGTGGAGACCCGCAAGCCTGCAGAACGACTGCTGCACGTCATGGAGCGAAGGTGTGAGCTCAATTCCCGGTTCGGGGAGCTTTACCGCGCCTTCCTCAAAGAGTACGAGGACGTGCGCCACATGACGCTCGTGGACGAGCCGCCCAAGTCCCTCAACCAAGGGCAGTGCTACCTGCCTCATCATGGTGTGCTTCGGGAGTCAAGCTCCACCACCAAGCTGCGCGTTGTCTTTAACGGCTCTCAGCGCACCCGGTCCGGTGAGTCACTGAACTCCCACCTTCTCGTTGGCGCCAACCTGCTACCGGCCCTCGCGGACGTGTTGATGCGCTGGCGCTGGCACCGATACGCGCTCGTAGCTGACATCGAGAAAATGTACCGCCAAATCCTCGTTGCTCCTGAGGATCGTGACTACCAGCGAATTCTCTGGCGGCACTCTACAGCTGATCCGGTCCGCGAGTTCCGTTTGAATACCGTGACCTATGGCCTCGCGTGCGCACCGTTCCTGGCTATCCGTACGCTGAGGCAACTCGCTGCCGACGAGGAGTCCCGGTTTCCACGCGGTTCCACTATCTTGCGCCGCGACTGCTACGTTGACGACATCGTCACCGGAGCGCATGAGAAGTCCGACGCGATCGCGGTACAGTCCGAGCTCCACCAGCTGTGCATGGCGGGCGGGTTTCCGCTTCGCAAATGGGCAGCGAACTGCCCCGAAATTCTCGCGGGAATTCCACTCGAGCACCGCGCAAGCAAGGAACCGCACTTGTGGGAACACGAGATCCACTCCACACTGGGGTTGCGCTGGCATCCGAGCGACGATGCTTTCGCGTTCACCATCCAACCCCGCACCGTCAGCAGCTACACCAAGAGGAGCGTCCTCGCGGAAACGGCGCGACTATTTGATCCGCTGGGATGGTTGTCGCCCGTTATCATTCGAGCAAAAATCCTCCTCCAGTCGACCTGGATGCAGCAGCTTGACTGGGACGCGCCGCTCTCGTCGGTGGACATCCTTCACTGGAGACGCCTCTTCGAGGAGCTCCCGCTTCTCGAGGGTCTTCGCGTCAACCGCTGGTTGGGCAGCGGAGCCGAGAACACTCTCATTGAGCTCCACGGCTTTGCCGACGCGTCCGAACGCGGATACGCCGCCGCTGTCTACCTCCGCCTTGGAGACGGCAGCAAGGCCCGCGTGCAATTGCTCGCTGCCAAAAGCAAGGTCGCTCCTATAAAACCAGTCTCGTTGCCAAGACTGGAACTCTGCGCCGCCGCCTTGCTCACGAAATTGGTAGCGCACGCTCAATCGATCCTTAGTTTGTCCACAGCTCCGACTATTCTCTGGTCCGACTCGACAGTTACACTCCACTGGATACAAGGCCATGCCTCTCGGTGGAAGACCTATGTGGCCAACAGAGTCGCATATGTCCAACAGCGTCTTCCCGAAGCCAAATGGCGTCACGTTCCGGGCATCGAGAATCCCGCAGACTGCGCCTCCCGGGGGATTGCGCCGAGCCATCTCGTCCACCATCCCCTCTGGTGGACAGGCCCTCCTTGGTTGCTCAAGGACCGAGCGAGCTGGCCACAGGAAGGTCTCGAAGTCGCTGACGATGAGATCCCCGAGAGGAGAACCACTGTGCATGTTGCCGTCGCTAAAGTCGAGGACGAGCCGGAGCTTCTCCTCCGGTTCTCCTCGCTGCATCGGCTTCAACGAGTGACCGCCTGGTGTCTGCGTTGGCTACGCGCCGCGAAAAAACCCGAGGGGCGCCGCGCATCACTGACTCTAAGCCCCGACGAGCTCGAGTCGGCACTTACACGATGGCTTCGCGTGCTACAAGCCCTGCACTACCCCGCCGAAGTCGCCGCCGCCACGGACAACCGCGCTCTTCCACGCAATAGCAAGCTCCTTAAGCTAAACCCTTACCTGGATGACTCCGGAGTACTCAGGGTCGGCGGACGGTTGAAGCACGCCGTGCTTCCCCACGATGAGAGGCACCCGATGATCGCCCCGCCGTTGTCCCACCTAACTCGGCTGTTAGTGGAGGCCTGCCACCGACGCACTCTGCACGGCGGAACTCAACTCACCCTGGGGATGATCCGACTGCGGTTTTGGGTTCCACAGGGTCGTTCGGTCGTCAAGCAGTGGCTGCATCGGTGCGTCACTTGCACCCGATGGCGAGCCGCCACTCCGCAACCGCCAATGGGCGATCTGCCACGGGAACGCGTGACTCCGGCCCGTCCTTTCCTTCGGACCGGCATCGATTATGCCGGCCCGATCTTCGTTCGCACTTCCAAGGGGCGAGGGCACCGAGCACATAAGGCATTCATTGCCATCTTCGTGTGTCTGAGCTCCAAGGCCGTGCACATCGAAGTAGTCTCAGACTACTCGACCGACGCACAGTGGTCTGGATCTCGAAAAAGGCGGCCAAAAATCGAAAAAATGAAATTTGTCATAATGAGTTTAGTACCACAGAATCTTGTAGAGAGGGCCTTGCTGCATGTTATTCCAAAGGGGAAGGGAGATATCTTTTATACTTGAGACGCTACGTTAGTTCAAAATGGCCGTTA